AGGGTCTACGCCCAAAACGTCAGCCTTCCTGCTCCTCTGATGCTGCTCGGCCTGCTGTGTTCATCCAGCTCTACACCTTGTTATCTCTTGATCACAATTCATATTTCTTTGGCAATCATCCAACATGATCCATGAAACTGTTAAAAATGATACCGATCCTCTTAACAAAAAGGGCAATTCAGTGATTGTCAAGCTTTGACCTGCAGAAATCCACCCTTTTTTTCTGCCCTTAAATAATACAGGCTCCATTATTAAAGTGATTCCCAAGGGACAGGTTAGTTGCTATGAGTGAAGATGTGACACTATCCCAAAAAAAAAGTGAGTGAGGATCAGCACAGACCCTGCTGCTGTTTACCCATCCAGTCACTTTGCCACAGAATCCTGCAAGTGTTATTTTTATTTAGGAATAGGATGTGGGCGTTCCTGACTGGACTAGCATTTATTGCCTGTGAGAAAGTGGTGAAGAGCTGTACGTAGACCCACATTGTTATGGAGGGAGTTCCAGGGTTTTGACCCAGTGACACAATGCAAGAACTCTGTTATCCACACGTTGGCATCTTATAAGAATTGGGGAGAACTTCTACATAAAACAAGTACAAACTACAACAGAAGAAAATGTTGGTTGCGAAAGATCAAATTAAGTGCCCACCTGAGAATCTAAAGCTTTGTCCCAAGTTCCTTGCAGCTGAACATGGAAAAAGCAATGAACACCGGAAATAGTCTGGTATCACCAGAAATGTAAACCTTTAATTGAATGAGTCAAGTCACCTGGAAATCCAACATGAAGAACCCACATTCCTATCATCTCTCAAGCTGTTGTCAAGTGTGCAAATTAAAATTAAATGCTGCATGTTTGAACATTGGCACTGATCATTTAGACTCAAGTCTGTTCCTATTCCATAAGGTCATGGCTGATCTCTTACTAACCCCAGTTGTCCAACTTTGCCCCACATCAGATCTAAAATGAGCAATTAAACTGGCATTATTTTTTTCATTTGTGGGAGTGTTTTTCACATTTCTAGGTGTGTTTGGATGGAGAAGTGTTTCCTAACTTCACTCCTGAAAGACTTGCTTTTAATTGCATGTGCTCTTCCGGGCTGATTTCCCAAGCAATGGAAGTAATTTCTATTAAGCTTGAGAACTTTTAGCTATAAGAATCTTGTCCTGGATTAGAGAAACAGCAGAACTCAGTTAAGTGACGAGAGGAAGGTAACGCATGCCAGTTTGAATGCAAACCCAAGAATTTTTTCCAACACTGCATGGTCTTGGTGTAAGCAGAGCAAAAGCATTGCCTGTGCACACCCTCTCACTCAAAATCCTGTGAAAATCACAAAGATAAAAGTCAAACAGCTCATACTTAATCTTTGCAGAATAAGAAGTGTCAAAGACATCAGCGGTTTGCTCCAGGAAAGATGTTGGATTACTCAAGCTGTTGTAACAGTGTCTCTGGGTCAATATTATAAGAAACAGGTCTCCAAAAATTAATGACATTGTCGTTAATCACCCCATTCTTGTACAGCTTTGGGATACTCAATTTGCAGGTATGTGTGAAAGCTTGCATCATTCTCAGCAGAGTGGTGACAATACTAAAACTCTCAGCTCAGTTACTTTGAACAGTCAAGATTGAACAAACTTCAAGTTTAAATTTAATGCACGTCACTCCATGGGAACCATTGGATGCAGAGCAAACCCCAAAAGGAAATGGACTGAAAAAGTTGCTCTTATTCAGCCAAACAAGGGACCCAACTTCTCCATCCTGTATCCTGTATCAACTAACAAAATAAAAACAGAAAACTGTTGGAAATACTTGGATCAGCTAGCATCTGTAGAAAGAGAAAAGGCTCATGTTTCAGATAACTGATCTTTCCACCTATTCCATATCCAATTCTTTCAGAAGGTTCAGAGTCAGAGTCATTGAGATATACAGCCCAGAAACTGACCCTTCGATCCAATTCATCCATGCTGACCAGATATCCTAAATAAGTCTACCCGTCCTATTCATATACCCATTCAGATGCCTTTTAAAATGTTGTAATTGTACCAGCCTTATCCACTTCCTCTGGTAACTCATTCCATAAACATACCACCCTGTGTGAAAACGTTGCTCCTCAGGTCCCTTTTAAAACTTTCCCCTCTCACCTTAAATCTATGCTGTCTAGTTTTGGACACCCCCATCCCTGGGAAAAGATCTTGTGTATTTACCCTATCCATTCCCCTCATGATTTTATAAACCTCTATAAAGGTCACTCCTCAGCCTCAACGCTCCAGGGAATATAGCCCCAGCCTATTCAGCCTCTCCCTGTAGCTCAAACACCCCAACCCTGGCAATGTCCTTGTAAATCTTTTCTGAATCCTTTCAAGTTTCACAACATCCTTC